GGTGAGAAGCGCCTGGCCGTGCTACGGCTCTTCTGGATCCTCACCATCCTCAGCCTCAAGTTCGTCTTCGAGATGCTGCTGTGCCAGAAGCTGGTGGAGCACACCCGGGAGCTCTGGTACGGGCTCATCATGTCGCCCGTCTTCATCCTCCTCCAGCTGCTCATGATCCGAGCCTGCCGGGTGAACTGATGGCGAGGGAGCGGGCTCCGGATCGCTGCCCTCGCCCCGGCCGGGGACGTGCCTGGCTCGCCGGGGAGCCCTGGACTCGTAGCGACGGTCATTGGGCTTTTCCCCTTCTTTATTTCTGTACAGAGGGTAGGTGGCAGTTACACAGTGTTGGCGCTGTGTGAGCAAGGGTCTGTAATTAAGCACGCTGCTGTGCTGTATAGCATTATGTTTCTTCGAAAGATCCTTTTGTGCCGCATCCTTATTTCAGTTCACTCAGCTCTTGGTGTTATTCTTAAAGTATCCTGCCATACAAGCACTGTTTGATATGCCAGTTATTTTATTTTAAAATAAAAATGCACGGAGGGATTAGTTTTATTTATAAAATTATTTTTTCCTAGAAAGCATTTGTACTTAAAACTGCTGCCTGGAGAACGGGAATTACCTGCAGGTTGGTTGGTTGCTGTAGATGTCCTCGTACACCCAGATCGCTGCCAGCCGGAAGCGCTGCAGCTGCTGCCTCGCCTGCCCTGCCCTGTCTGAGGCCACGCTTGTAACGATGCGCTGGCTTCAGCGGCAAATCTAATTCATTTCCATCTGTCCTCTTACTTCCCTGAGCACTTCAGGCCTTCAGTGCGCTGGCAGGGTTTTATGGGGCCATGCTCTGAGCCAGAGAGAACTGATGTGTGTATTTTTTAACGGAAACATGTTCTTTTTCTTTGTATTTCAGTTCCATTCCGTAAATATCGAGATGGGGATGTTGGGAGGGCGAGGCACGGGGACAGGAGTATGCATGGCTGATACTGGTTGTGAATGGGGGGGGATCTCACTGAACCCCAGCTTTGGTGTGAAGCACCGTCCTCAGACCCCCAGAAAGCGTCAGTAGTTCAGTATTCCTCGGGGAAGTGTGGATCAACAGGTTAAATGCCAATGTCACGGGGAACTCCCAGTGCCAAAGACACTTCGGCGTCACTTGTGTTCAGCTCCCACCACGAGGGTCTTGCAAACGCTGGATCTGCTCTTCACCTCTCTGTGAGACGTTGAGTGTTGCTTTGGAGCCCAGGCCCAGAGGACTGGTCTCCTGACACCAAGTTTTACAGATCTTTTTGCTCTTTTGATGATGTTGACTTTGACAAAACATCTCCTGGGGGCTTTCCCTCCAACCTCAGCTGCTCCCTGGCCCATCCCATCTTTGCCCCATCTACCCAGCTCCTCCTGGTACCACCTCTCTCCTCTGCTGTGCCCAGGATCTGTTTCATGCAGTTAGGATCTTGAGATGGAGAACTGCTGTATAACCAGCTCTCCAGTTCAGAGTCGCTTAGCAGAGGCCTGAGGAGCACCAGGAACGTGTTCGTGGGTCTGATCTCCCCTGTGAGATCCTCTGATGACAAGGAAACAAGTGGCTGCTCCTTTTCTCTCTAGAAAGCGGGTGGGAACTGCGAGGAAGTTTCTCGTAGGTGACGATGGTTGTCCCTTCGCGCTGTTGCCAGCTCGTCCTGACTGTCATGAACCGGTGGTGGGAGAACCAAGGGCCGGGTCCAGCAGGATCCATAAGCTGACACAGATTTAGCCCAGACTGGGCCATACTGGGGCTTAGCCCCTGATGCGCGGTGTGACCTGCTCCCCACCAGCCTCTGTTCCGGTGGCACCTGGCTCCAGCCCTGGCTCGATGTCCCCAGTGACTCTAGATGGCCTGGTGCCGGGATCTGGTGCTGTAAGTACAGGACGGGAGCACCCATTTTGCTCGGTCCTTGCACACTCTTAGGTGCTGCTGGGCCCCGAGCAGTGGGACCTGCCTTACAGGAGCTCCTCCTGCTTCACCTTGTGATGTGGTTTTCCAGGGCTTGGTGTCACCAAGGTGCAGCTGTAATGTCCCCAGATGCTCCTCTGGTCTGTCCGCTTGGAGCAGCCGCTTGCTCACACGGGCCAAGCTATGGCAAAGCAAGGACACATCATCTGGGACAAGGCGGCCAGCTGCTCCTTGTTGACTTCCACCTCACACCAGTGTGAGTTCATCCCCGCTCTCGGTGTCCCCGGGCCGCGGTTGTGCCCACAACGCGCCCGGTCGCTCCGAGTGCACGTGCCACGGATGTTGCAGATACTGCGTCACCAGCAGCAGATACTGCGTCACCAGCAGCCACAGAGTCACTGGTGTGGGTCTGGGGAGGGTGAGGGCTGGGGTAAGGGGCAATGGGGGTGAGACCAGGGGAGCAAGGCTGGGGCCGTGTCGGGGGACAGCCAGTATCTGCTGACAGGCATGAAGAACCGGAGCCACAAAGGGTGGGGGACGCGGTTGGTGAAGGCGGAGAGGAGCAGGAAGAGCAGCAAAGCCTCTGAGTCAGGAGGGGACACTCACTGAGTTGCCCTGGGGACTGATCGGTGCCTTTGGACTCTCCCGCAGCTCACCAACCATATGGCTAATTGAACCAAAGAAGGGGCAAAAAAAAAAAAAAGATCAAACAAATGAA